CTTAGTGGTGTCCACATACTTGCATACTGAGGACTGTTAAGCTGTGCCAGCTCAATTATTCTATTCTTGGAAGATCGGGTCATCTCATCTGTGGCAGAGGTAACAAAAGTGCAGGAATATCAGACTACTCAACACTGTGTGCCATTGAATCTATGACTTAATTTGGTGATGCCTAAGGAAGAGCACCAGAGAAACTGAATCCTTGGGACCCTGGAAGAATGGTAGCAGTAAGTGTGTGACATACCTATGCATGGTCTACTTGATATTTGATATGGTGGTACCACATGTTTTTTGTACTCAATAAATTAATAACTTCCTGCTGCCACTGCAGGTTGTGGCAGCCAAAATTGGCTAAATCTGGTCATTTAGTTCACTTGGTCTGTGAACCACAAACAGCAAGAGTTAGGGTGAACCTAAATTTCATCCCTAGTGTAGATAAATTATATTTCATCGTTTCAATCACAAGCTTGATAGGTGTTATGACCTCTACATTTGTGAGCTCTGTTGTCAGCTGTCTTGGTTAGCAAAGCTTATCTTTGGCTTGTGTGAATTGTTTCTTTAAAGCATGAAAGTGATCTGCAATGGGAAGCCTATTCCTCTCTGATATGATCATAGTACTGAAGTACAGAGCCAAAGAAAACCTTAACATATGTCAGGGACACATATGGCCCTTCTGTTCATATATCCATCCTAGACACCGAGCACGATGCAGTTGATCATAGATGTTCTGGTGCAGTTGATATTAATGAACACAGCTGCTGTTCATTTTTTGCTTCAGCATTTGTTTAGGAATGACAAATGCCATTCCCTAGTACAAAAGTGCAATATGTGCTGTACGTGTGTGGATATACATGTATGTGTATACATTGTGAGAGGCAGTATTCTGCCAAATTCCCGCCCTATTAATACAGTGTTAAACCTTAAAGCAAGCATTAATTGTATTGCAGTTTACCAATTCTTAAAATGTGATGGCTGCATTAGTTTTCTTTTTAAGGCTTTCTATTTTCCATTTCATCTGGTGATCCAGCCAGTAAGTCTGTTGTTCTTCAAAAGAACAAGCTGTCCTGCACAGATGTATCAGTTACAGGAATGATACAAACCTTTTACCACTGATAGGGGTATTTATAATGGTCAGCTTTTATTTATTCATATAAAAACTTTATCCTACAAGGAAAAAAAAAAACTGTTTGCTATAACATCTTATAAAGTATTAGCAGGCGTTTGTCTTCAATTTGTTAGTGTATCTAAATCTGCTAGTACACCTAACACTCCCTTCCCCCCAGACTAACAATGTTGCTGTCCAAAGGTGTCCCCGATGCTCCTTCATCCAAAGTGGGAGCACTCTAATACAGGAGATGTGTTACTGGCCAGATCACCTTGTGAAAACAGAGGTGAAAAAAGCCTAAAAAAAAACTATTGCAGCCATGACATCTAATGATTGGTAAGCTGCAATATATTACATTTTGGTTCTGGGTTTAATTACACTAAGTCTGGCTTTAAAAAAATGTTTTCAGCTTTAGCTGCACATGGGTGTTTAACCATTTGCCCTCCCGAGAATTTACCCCCCTTCCTGACCAAGCTATTTTTTGCGATACGGCACTGCTTTACTTTAACTGACAATTGCACGGTCATGCAACGCTGCAGCCAAATGAAATTTATGTCCTTTTTTCCCATAAATAGAGCTTTCTTTCAGTGGTATTTGATCACCTCTGAGTTTTTTATTTTTTGTGCTATAAACAAAAAAAGACTGACGATTTTGAAAAAAAAATATATATTTTTGACTTTTTGCTGTAAAACATGTCCAGTAAAACATTTTAAAAAATCTAATTTCATCATAAATTTAGGCCAAAATGTATTCTGCTACATGTCTTTGCTAAAAAAAAATCCCAGTACATGTAAATTAATTGGTTTACGTGAAAACCAAATGGCAGTATATATACTGGAATTTTTTTCTCTTTTACTAGTAATGACGGCGATCGGTGATTTATAGCAGAACTGTGGCGGGCATTCTGACACTGGGAGGGAACTGACTAACTGTCACTGACATTCCCAGTGACACTAATACTGTGATCAGTGCTAATAAAAAGCACTGACACTATACTAATGACACTGGGTAGGAAGGGGTTAACCTTTGGGGCGATCAAAGGGTTAACTGTGTCCTGTTTTACTAACTGTGCTGTGTGTGTTTTACTGTGTATGCATTCTGTTTTGTATTGCTCTGCTATGCAGAGCAATACAAAGCAGCATTCTGGTGCTGACGGGAGAGATCTGTATTGTTTACATACAGACCTCTCCTCTGTCAGTGTGCCTCGGCAATCGCCAGGTGCCAGAGGGGAATCTCTGTCAATCTCCACCAATGGCAGCGTGGGTAGGGCGAAATGCAAAATCCCATATACAGTATATACATGATTTTGCGTAACCCATAGCCCTGCCGCCCTGTAGCAGTAGTTCTGCTATAGGGAGGTAGGGAAGCAATTAAAAAGCCTGTTTTGGCAGGCTTTTCTTGGTCATACAAGTTTTGCATTGCCATATAAGTCTATGGGAATGCAAAACCAACGTGAAGCAAGTCAAATGCAAGTTAGAAGGTGGTCATTCAACTGCAGGTCAAAAGCACCTGTCAAATTTTAAATGATTTCAGAAGTGTCAAGAACAAATCTCAAACTGATGTCATTGACACAAACCCAAAGCGTGTCGAACAGGTCCATATTACATCTTTTCTGCAGGTCAGTATCGTTCAGGCTTTGCAGTCTATGATCAAAAGTGACTTTGTTTTGTGCCCTAAAACTATTTATCATTCAGGTGTTTTTTTTGTTCTATGAAAGAAGCAGTTTAGAGATTGGGTGTAATACATGAAGCTTAATGAGCACAATTTGGACTATACTCAGGTACTAGCATCAGCCATAGTATTTAAATGAGTTATTATGGTGGAGAGATCATCTAGTGTTCTCCACAAAACAGATGCCGTTCTGTCAGAAAGGGCTCTTTGTGCAGACATTAAAAGCCCTGAGACTGGCATTTTGGATGTAATCTTAGCATTCCTAGCAGACCTATGCAGGCCATACATGGGTTGAATTCTGAACTAATTTCCTTTAGAAAACCCGAAATTTTGTGCATTTTGGAATCCAATGGTGCTACCATCGGTTTTGAAATTAAACCAACAAAGCCTTCAAATTCATATGTTGCTACAGAAAAGTATTTTCGTGACCAAGAATTTTCTTTCCTTCCAGGGCACAGCTCATGCTTATTTCTTTTTCGATTATATTTCTTGCACGATTCTGCCGTCCTTAAATAGAATCTCATTCGTTTTTCAAAAAATTTTCAACATGCTCGATTACTCAAATTAGATGATCGTACAGATATCGACCGTTATTGTGGCCCACTAATGATATGAAATTCGAACGCAAATTCTTAGTAAAGGTTTTCTAAAGAAAATTCTTTCCAAATTCGACCCGTGTATGGCCGGCTTTAAAGTGGAGTTCCAGCTGAAAAGAAAAAAAAAACAAAAGTCAGCAGCTACAAAAAACTGTAGCTGCTGACTTTTAAAATACAGACACTTATGCAGGCCATACATGGGTTGAATTCTGAACGCATTTTTTTTAGAAAATCGGAATTTTCCTGCATTTTGTAATCCAATGCCACCATTGATTTAGAAATTTGACCAACCAAGTCTTCAATTTCACCTCATGTTGCTATAGAAAAAGAATTTTCGTGGGCAAGAATTTTCTTTTCTTTTCAGGTCACAGCTCATGCTCATTTCTTTTTCGTTTATATTTCCCACACGATTCTCCCATCATTGATTTGAAATACGTTTGTTTTTCAAAATATTTCCAACATGCCCAATCACTCAAATTCGATGGTCACACGAAAATCGGTCGTTTCTGCGACCCACTAATGGTGCAAAATTAGAACGAAAGTTCTTAGAAAAGATTTTCAAAAGAAAGTTCCTTCGGAATTTGACCGATGTATGACCAGCATTACCTGTCCCTCGGTCCAGCAGTATCCTCACCATGTCTGGTTTCACTGGCTGCCTTCTCTCCCCATCATCTTCATGGGAATGCAGGCCGTACGAATTCCCTCCCCGAATACCACTATGTAACTTAATAAAGAAAGACACACACACTATAATTGGCATAAAATTGGTCACGGCATTTTTATTGGTAGAAATTGAAAATGAAATAATAACAAAAAGCTCATATCATTTATTCAAATGTAATAAAATAAACTTAAATAATCAAGAATAGCTCAGTCATTAAGAACTCAAGCATCAATTAAATAGCATAAAAGGGCGACAAACCACGTAAAGTGCCAGCGACTAAGGGAAAGGGAGGATGGGGAGCATGTTGGATGATGCCGACCAACTGGAAAATTGCCTCGGGAGACCACTGTTTATATAATAAGCCCCAAGGTTCCAGAACTTTCTAAAAGGTCATGTGGGGCGCTGCTTTCCCGCCCAAACTACCTATAGCTTTCTTAAAGGGCCATGCACTTCTTAAAGCGTTACCTGAGTTAAAATAAAAATACCATTTAAAATGATTAAATATCAAGAGGGAGTGAAGGCTGCATGCCCATGGCAGTGAACATTGATCGTTTGCCCACTTTTAACATGGGAATGAAGGCCGTACAAATTCCCTCCCCGAATACCACTTAATGAAGAAAGACACACACTATAATTGGCATAAAATTGGCCGTGGCACTTTTATTGGTATAAATGGAAAATTAAATAAATTATAATAAATAACTCATATCATTTATTCAAATGTAATAAAATAAACTTAAATAATCAAGAATAGCTAAGTAATTAAGGACTCAAGCATCAATTAAATAGCATAAAACAAACAAGCCCCACAAACCGGGCCTAAAAGACCGGCCTACCCGAAAAGCGCAGCCAATTCAATGCAATTTTGCAAACCTAAGTTAAATATATCTAGGCCAATGTCTGATAAATTAATCTGATCAGATCTGTAAATGCCACTAATACCCCCTTCCAGATCTACATGGGGCAGGGGCGGATTGACCATTTGGAAACTCGGGCACTGCCCGAGGGCCCGGGGTCAGTAGGGGGCCCCATGAGATGCCCCTGGTACCTTTTTCATAGGCTTTTTTGAATTTGGGCAAGGACACAGGGGCCCCATGATCCCCTATTGCCCGGGGGCCCCATGAGTTGTCAGTCCGCCCCTGACATGGGGTAAGAACCACCATTAATTAGTGGCATTAATTTTTCCATAGCCCTGTTTATCCTTTTCCTACCTTTTTCTAAAGGTTTAAATTGAGCACATACCAGCCACAGCAGTCGTGGAATAACCTCAGAAAAAAAATAGTTGTATTTGGGAATGATAATTTCAAATGGTGCATATCTTGCTTCATCATAAACAACAACTCCGATGTTTTTACCTTACCTATATCATTTCCCCCCAGGTGAAATATTAAGATATCTGGATTAGGCCAAATATCAAACAACATAGAAAGATGAAAGAATAAGTTAGCCCACTGTAGGCCTCTCACACCCTTCCAATAAACTTGAAAACATGAAGGATCCATGGACAGATTTCTGGAATAGCAACATTGAGCAGCTCTTTTCTTTGCCCAAAAACAAAAGAGTGTCCAATGATCTTTTAGTACCTAGAATTCAAACAGAAAGATCAGGTCGAATATATAACTGAAAACGGTGAGAGTCCCATCTACCAAGTTTCTTAATAATGGTATTATCCAGGCCCATTCTTGCAGGCTCAGTAGCTGCACCTATCCTAAATGAATGGGGGGTAAATTTATAGTGACTTAACCCCGCGTGAAAAAGACAGAAACAAATTGATATCTTGTAAGGGGAGAAGAATCAGCATAAATGAAAAAAGGACCAGAACCAACTGGCCTAAAAGATAGATACTACCAAACAGCAAATAAAGGAAAATAATTGGATCGCCACAATTATGCAAGCTAATCCAACATCCTATACCAGTTTGGTCTGTTTTTGATTTGGAAATAAATATACAGACTTCATTATCTGATAATAAAACTTGTTCAAAATGAAGGCCTCCATTAATACATTTATTACGAGGCAAAAGCTCCAATATTCGTAGAGCACCAACGAAGGCTAGGACAAAGGCGACCTTAAATAAAATCGATTCGAACTCAGAAAAACAAACAGAAGAAGTAGCAAGGCAGATATTTTGTAAGTTTTGAATAGAGATAGGTCTTCTATTATCTGAGCACATATGAGATTTTCTATAACCCTTGAGAGCCTGCTGAACCAAAAAGTAACTGGTACAAGGGGTCTGATTGTTAATCCTCAAGAAAAAAAGAAACACCCGCCAACATTTTTGTGATATGACTATAAGAATACTCTAACTGCATAAGATAACACAAAAATAGTTAAAAGGAGCATCAAAAGCAAATCCAAATACCGAGCTGCAATCTCTCCATTTTTTCCATGCGTCTGTGTAATTGGTCTATGTATTGTTTGCTAATGAATTCTTAACAGAATCAAACATGACTGTCAAATCAATTTCCATAGGTGTTCTGGGCATGCAATTCCTTCTCTGTCTGCTTTGGGCAACAGCTGACAAAATCTTGACATCTGAAATCGAGATAGTGAATCTGAAATTTTATTTTATCTTCCTTGAATGTATTTTGCTTTTACCCATATATCAAGTTGTAACCATAACAAACCTAAGTGTCTAAGGAACTTTATAACATAAATAGATTTTGATGAAAGGCAGTTTATTGCATAAAGCACTCCTTTATTATCTGACTGTATTAAAATATTTTATTTTTAAATTGTTCTTCCCAAATTTCCAAGGCAACCACTAGCAGAAAGAATTCTAATAAAACTATATTCTTAGTTGCTTTATTTGCCACCCACTCCGAATGCCATTCCCCGCAAAACCAATGCATTCTCCATATTGCAGCAAACCCTTTGGAACCAGCTGCATCTGTAAATCGAAATCTGGAGTAAAAACAAAATCATGTTGAAAGAACGACTTACCATTAAAGGTTTCCAGAAACTGAGACCAAACCAACAGATCTTCTTTCACATCAGCGATTAAACGAATATGTGAAAAGGGGGATTTGAATTCCGAGATAGCCAAATACATACAACGAGAAAAAAATCTGCCAATAGGCATGACTCTAGATGCAAATGCCAATAAACCCAGAAGGGACTGAATTTTTTTTAACAAAACCTACTTATGAAGTAAGAAGGACATTATAAGGGATGATAATTTATTATGTTTTGCTTGTGGCAATTTAAATTCCATAACATCTGTGTTGATATTTATGCCTAAAAAATCAATAGATGTTGTAGGAAAAACTGTTTTCTCGTTTGCTAACGGAATGCCAAAGTGCTGGGTGATATAGTTGCAATATATTACCACAGTCAGGTGAACCAGGCAGGCCTATGAATAAGAAATCATCAAGATAATGTACAATTCTATCGCCACCTGATTCAAATGCAACTACCCAATGTAAAAAACGAGAAAATGACTCAAAATAAGCACACAATACTGAACAACCCATTGGCAGGCACTTGAAATAAAACTGACCATTAAACTGAATTCCTGAAAACCTGAAAGAATTAGGAAAATTGATAGCAAATGAAATGCAGACTTTATATCCGCTTTTGCCAGCAAGGTTCCCCTTCCGAATTGTCTGATCTTATGAATGGCTTCTTCAAAAGAGCTATAAGAAACAGATGACAACACTTCGCTTATTTCATCATTTAGAGATGACCCATTAGGAAATGACAAATGATGAAGTAAACGATATGTATTAGGCTCTTTCTTGGGAATGATACCTAACAGAGATATATGGAAATTTTTAAAAGGGGGGATAGGAAAGACCCTGATGATCATTGCCCATCAGTGCCACCCACCTATGCCCATCAGTGCCACCCACCTGTGCCCAGCAGTGCCACCCACTAGTGCCCAGCAGTGCCCCCCATCAATGCCACTCATCAGTGCTGCCTATCAGTGCCCAGCAGTGCTGCTCATCAGTGCCCAGAAGTGCTGCCAGTCAGTGCCCAGCAGTGCCGCCAGTAAGTGCCGTCAGTCAGTGCCACCCATCAGTGCCCATCAGTGATGCCCATCAGTGCCCATCATTGTTGCATATCAGTGCTGCCTCATCAGTGCTGCCTCATCAGTGCCGCCTATCAGTGCCCATCAGTGCAGCCTCATCAATGCACATCAGTGAAGGAGAAAATTACCTGTTTGAAAAATTTTATAATAGAAACAATGAAACCTTTTTGTTTTTTGCTCTTTTTTTGTTTATAGCGCAAAAAAAAAAAACACCCAGCGGCGATTAAATACCACCAAAAGAAAGCTCTATTTGTGTGAAAAAAATGATACAAATTTCATATGGGTACAGTGTTGCATGAACATGCAATTATCATTTAAAGTGCGTCAGCGCTGAAAGCTGAATATTGGTCTGGACACGAAGGGGGTATAAGTGCCCGGTAGGTAAGTGGTTAAAAGAGTACATGGTTATGGCCTGCAGAGGTGAGGGGACTGGGTACCCAATGTTGCATGGTACCCTGAGAATGTCAACCAATCTAGAAGTGGGCCAAACTGCATGAGCTATCCCCTTGTATTTACTAAGCACATCAATATACCAGAACTAACCTCGACTTGAGATATTTCTGAGGTGCACTGACTTCTCCCCCCCCCCCTTTCCCTTTGGCTTTCAGTTCCTCCACAGTCTTGTAGGCATACTTGGGCTTATTTCCTCCATTGGCTCAGCTCCTTTTGAAAGTCCTGAACAAAAGACATAGAAACAAATGTTCACATGTCCCTTACAATTCTTAAAAAACCCCCCAAAAAACAAACGCTGGTTACTGTAAGGGCTGAAAAACCACAGTGTTAGATCTCCCAAGTTCTGTATTCTATTACACATTAGAGCAAAGCACAAATTACATATACCTCAGTATACATAGGCAAACATACATACACACAGTAGCAAAAGTGCCACTTCAGGAGGGCAGGAATCTCCTATTATCCTAAAGTGGTTAGAAAGTTTCAGCTTTGTTTAAAAAAAAAAAAAAAAAAAACACAACAACATGTTACTTACCTGCTCTGTGTAATGGTTTTGCACAGAGCAGCCCCTATCCTCCTCTTTTCAGGTCCCCTGCCAGTGCTTCTGGCCCCCCAACCCTGCTGATGCCCCCAGAGCAAGCTGCTTGCTCTGGGGGCACTCCTGTGTGTACATTTCCAAGCCACCACTGTGTGTCTATGGTATTCACAGAGCGTGGTGCAGCCCCTCCCCTGCTCCCTGTTCCATGACTGTGAGTGACAGCAGCAAGAGCCAATGGCTCCCACTGCTGTGTCTCAGCCAGTGGGGAGAGAGAGAACCAGGAGAGCCTTGGCTCTCATACAAATTGGGTGATTGGGTGGATTGGGGTCAGGTAAGTATTATGGGGGGCTGCGGTGGGAGCTGCACACTTTACACACACTTTAAATATAGCTGGACTTGATTGGATTAAAAATATTAAATGTATTATCTGTGTGGTAAGATCCTAAAAATAGGCAGCTTTTTCAGCATGGAACGCCATATTTAAGGTTATATAAGACCTTTCTTCATGTGTTCAAATACTTTTTCCCTGTTATTCCATTTTATTACACATAACTTAATTTTCTTTGTATGTATGGAAATGGTGACGTGTTCAATACTTAGTTTACACCCACTTTGTTTTTTTTGTTTGTTTTTTTTTTTTTGTCTACTTTTGTGCAAGCCAGAGCTAACGTTTTCAGGCACTAGGCTTCCACTGTACTTATTAGGTCTCGGGTCATATAGGGGTAGAACCATTAGCCTAATGGTCCTATGCTTTGACTACAAGTCCTCCAGGTCTAGACAAGATCTGCCCTCTTGAAATTGTTGCAGAACATTGTAATGTCATGGTGTACATATAAGACAAGTGTAAGAACTGTCACATAATCTTCTGTATATAAACATTAGTGAGATTGCTACACATAAGGCATAGAGGGTTTGAGTCTTTTATCACTTTAAATATGGAGTTCCATGCTGCAAAAGCTGCCCATAGTTAGGATCGTGCCACACAGATAATACATTTATTATTTTTAATCCAATCAAATACAGCTATATTTACAGGTGTTTGTAAAACCTGAAGCTTCAGTTTGCAGATCTTCTCGCAACCCTCCCAATACTTACCTGAGCCCAATCCAGTGATGTGTATGAGAGCCTAGTCTCTTGAGTCTCTCTCTCTCCTCACCGGTTGAGACAGCAGTGGGAGCCATTGGCTCTCGCTGCTGTCAATCACAGTCATTGAGGAGGGAGCAGGGGTGGAGCTGAACCACGCCACATAGATGGCTTGGGAGTGAGTACAAACAAGTGCCCCCCAGAGCAAGCAGTGGGGGCAGGGGGCCAGAAGCTCCAGTAGGGGACCTGAAAAGAGGAGGAAATTGTCAGTAAAAGTAGCGCAGTGCCAAATAGCAAGAAATGGCCTGGTCATGAAAAGGATAAATTGTCCAGAAGGCAAGTCGTTAATATCATAAATGCTACCTAACAAAGCTGCTATGGAGTACTTAAATATTTACAGTACCAAAAAGTTTCATATACTGTATAAGCCCGTGAGCTACCCATCTTTATACATTTTTATTAAAGTGTTACTAAAGTCTGAATTTTTTATTTTTAATAAAATAGAAAACATTGTATACTCACCTACTCTGTGCAATGGGGTCTTCTTCTGGGGTCTCCTGTCAGCAATTTGGCTCCTCCTCTTCTTTGTGTGTCCTTATAGCAAGCCGTTTGCTTGGGGCACACAGTGTGTGCTCGCTACAGACCTGTGTGTCTACGGAGCACCGCTTCATAGACAAACACACAGGACTTAGCCCCACCCAGGGGCGGACTGACCATTTGGAAACTCGGGCACTGCCCCTGGCCCCACCCTCAATTTCTCTTCACTGCGTTTGATTAACAACAGCAAGAGCCAATGGCTCCTGCTGCTCTTCGAGTCCCTATGTGAAGAGGGAGAAAGGGGAGAAGAGATGCAGCTGTGCACAGCACTGATCTCTTCTCCCCTCTCTTCCCCTTCACACAGGGAAAGGGGAGCAGAGGGAAACTGAAGCTGTTTTTCACATTAATGCAAGCAACGGGCAATAGGGGATCATGGGGCCCCTGTGTCCTTGCCCAAACTCAAAAAAGCCTATGAAAAAGGTAGCAGGGGCATCTCATGGGGCCCCCTACTGACCCAGTGCCCAAGTTTCCAAATGGTCAGTCCGCCCCTGCTGTATACTATCTAGATAGACAACATTGTATATTAAAGCTTAGTTCCACCTGGAAAAAAAAAATAAAAGTCAGCAGCTACAAAAACTGTAGCTGCTGACTTTTAAAATACAGCCACTTACCTGTCCCTCAGTCCCGCGGTGTCCTCATCACCGCTGGTTTCACTGGTCGTCTTCTCTCCCTGGTGCCGGCATCTTCAGTGTGGGCACCTGGCTGTGACAGCTTGCGGCTTCACAGCCAGGTGCCCACTGCGCATGAGTGAGAAGTGCTGCGCTTTGAGAATGGCCCCTAATCTTCTGGGACCTGTCACGTGTCCCAGAAGACTACGGGGAGGGAGGACAACTTCCGCTCGTCTAGGCGATCACAGTGGAAGTGGGAGCGGGAACCTGTCAAATCCAGGTACCCTCTCCCCCCCGCTCCCAAAGGTGCCAATCCTTAATGGGGGAGCGGGGGAACAAAGGCTTAAAGCGGAACTTACCCTTTTGGATGGGGCACTGCTTTAAGCTCCAGCCTAATACAAAGATCATAGAATGGATACTTTGCTATTCTATAACCATGTATAAAACCTTTAACCACTTGAGCTCCAGAGGATTTACCCCCCTTAAAGACCAGGCCTCTTTTTGCTACTCGGCGCTGCACTAATTCAACTGATAATTGCGCTGTCATGCAATGCTGTACCCAAAGGAAATTTACGTCCTTTTTTCACACAAATAGAGCTTTCTTTTGTGTAATTTGATCACCTGTGCGCTTTTTATTTTTCACGCTATAAACAAAAAAAGGCCAAAAATTTTGAAGAAAAACAATATTTTTTACTTTCAGCTATAAAAAATATATAGTAAACTCAAAGTTGGTTATAAATTTAGGCCAAAATGTATTCTGCTACATGTTTTTGGTAAAAAAAATCCCAATGAGTGTATATTGATTGCTTTGTGTGGAAGTTATAGCGTCTACAAACTATGGTATAAATACATTTTTCTGCTATACAGCGCTGCGCTAGTTTAATGGACAATTGCGCGGGTCATGCAATATGGTACATAAATGAAATTTACATCCTTTTTTTCCCCACAAATTGAGCTTTCTTTCTGTGGTATTTGATCGCCTGTACGGTTTTTATTTTTTGCGCTATAAAAAAAAAGGTTGAAAATTTTGAGGAAAAAAAAACAATATTTTGGACTTTTTGCTATAAAACATGTCCAGTAAAAAAAAATGCAAAAATCAAATTTAGTCATAAATTTCTGCCAAAATGCATTCTGCGACATCTTTGCTAAAAAAAAAACCCAACACGTGTAAATTAATTGGTTTACGTGAAAGTTATAGCGTTTACAAATGGCGGGAAAGATACTGGGATTTTTAGGTTTTTTTTTTTATACTAATAATGGCGGCGATCAGCGAATTATGGCGTCGATCAGGGACTTATGCCAGCGACTTATGGCGGGACTGCGGGACTGCGGCGGACATTCCGACATTGGGGGGTACTGACTTGGGGTTACTGACATCCCCAAAAACACTAATAGAGTGATCAGTGCAAAAAAAAAAACCACTGACACTGTACTAATGGCAATGGGAAGGAAGGGGTTAACTTTATTTTGAGGGAAGGGTTATAGGAGTGAGGGGAGTGTTTTACTAGGGGTCGGGGTGTGTACTGGACGGGACAAGGCTGATCGAGAAAGAGAAACTGTTCTTTCTCGATCAGCTCATCCTCGAGCTGACAGGGAAGTGACAGACAGCACAGCTACTGCAGCTGTGCTGTCTGTCACTGTTCGCC